TAGTAGTAATCTCCAAATATCCAGTTAGGAATTCTGGAAATATAAACTTCAAAGTAGCTAGGTATCAGATAAATTTTCAAAAGCGTAAGCCACAAAGAAAAAAAGAGATGAATTTGATTACACCAAGTGGAAGGCTTCTGTCCAATAAAAGCTAATAAAGGCAAAGTTCAGAAGCACAACCTCATCAGCTCTAAAATTGGCCATAGATCAATAGCTAGGGCTCCTAAAAATTGGGGCAATGACACAAACACAATTGGAAAGAATAAAAGATGTGAAGATTCAATTAGGGAAGCAGAAACTCAAAAAGTTACCAAATAAAAGATGCCCAAATACGTGGTGGGGTGTGCCTGTAAACCCAGCACTTGAGTGGCTGAAAACAAGAGGATTACTATGAGTCTGATTTGTGTAGTGAGACCCTGTAGGCCCTGTACTAAATACATCAAAAAAAAAAAAAAAAAAAGCCCAAATATACTAGCTAGTAGAAAAGCACAAGATAAAACAATAGAAAGCTGGGTAATTCTATGAAGAATAGACCAGACACAGGGATTTATGTGTCTAGTGTGGGGAAGGGCGGAGAGAGTAGAGGCCAGTGGTCAGATTTCCAAAGGACAGCCTGGCAGTTTGTAGTCAGAGTGAATCAATGAGCAGCTACTCTGTGACCTGCGATTTTGCTCTTGGGTGTGGATCTCAGAAGAAATCCTCACAGTGGAACCAGCAGGAGGATACTGAAAGCAGCACAGTTTGTGAGGCAGGGAGTTGGAGTAGACAGGCAAAATGCAGACCTCCCCACTGAGCACAACGCACAGCACTCCATAGGAGCGCAGCAGCCACAGAGCCACCTGGACAGGTTGCAGAAACAACCGGAGGACAAAGGAAGCAGAACAGCTGCCACGACCACCTATACATTTAGAAACAGGCATGTAAAGTTTCTACAAGTATACACACAAGCAAAGCCATACGTGTGGAACACATGGGAATGGCTTTCCATCCAGGCAGTGGAAGATGGCCACCCAAAACCATCAACTGTTGGGAGTCACTTGAAGGAAGGGGTCCTGATTCCTACCCTGGCTGCCTGATGTTGGCTTAGGCATTTAGGTGCAGCATGGACTCAAACCGGGATCAGCAGTGTCCGATTCAAAATCATTTTCCTTATATCTTATCTTAATCTCCGGAATCTCAGCTCTGGAGATGGGGGCCCCTTCGGTTTCATGCTTTGGGGAAAGTCTTGCATTCAGTCGATGAGTAAATTTTGTTCTGTCTTTTGAGAAAGGGTCTCTGTGTAGTCCAGGCTGGCCTTGAACTCACTATGTAGCCCAGGCTAACTTTGAATCAGTGATTAACACTAATTTAGACAATGGGGCTCAGAAAAGATGTGAAGAAGAGGTGGGAGGGAGCTATCATTGTACCAGACTACCGGCACCAAGTAAAGTGGCAGCCAAATCCAAAGCTTCCCTTCCTTGCAACCTGCCTTCCTTCAAGGCATATGGAACTGACCTTCAGGGGCCACTCACAATAGCCAGCCAGCTACTACAGATGAGTTCCCTGGCTACTCAGGAAAATCCCAGCCAGTCTGTTCTAAGATGTGGAACATGAGGCTCAGAGAAGCCACTTGGGCCAAGCTCAGGAGTGGGGCATCCCTGCTCTTCCTCCTGCTCCAGAGACGCTGTTCCTTCTACCAGAAAGCTATACCAACAAGTGGCTTTTGCCATACCCCCATCTCCTCAGGCTTCCACCTATGTAGCTGGACCCAAATTGGCTCAAGGGTGCCTTGGGCCCCCTTTGCATCAGAATTGCTCCAGCAGCTCTCCCAGGGACACTGAGGCTCTTGTTCTAGGGAACTGCTGGAGCTAAGCTAGCTTCTAAGAGCTTCCTCTTAAAAGCTCCATTCCCTCGAGTCCTCTGATATGGCTCTTTTAAACCAGGTCTAATAAATTCCAGGAGAGTTAGCATAATGTAGGCAAAATGACAGTGAGAAATCTCAGTAGGACAGAAGTACTGCAGAGCTGTGTCTTATGCCCTGGCACCCCAAGAAAGAGGATTTTAAACAGGTCTCGTTCTTTGCCAAACCCCAGAATTTGTGGGCCTGAATCAGGAAGAGAGGCATCAGACTTGCCGTTCCCTCTACTCCTCCTCTTTACCTCCTGCCAACACAGCCTATTTTTCCTCAGGCCACAATCCAATTACTTTGAGCAAAATTTGAAAGAAAGTAATTCCATCCCACAAAAAGTATTTAAAACAGTCACAGAGGAGATGGGCTGAGACATGTAGCAGATGGCTTGAGCCTCCCCAAACTGTCTTGTCAAAGTAGTTGATAGTATGATTAACAACATGTGCTCAGTTTTGCTTAAAAAAGGATAAACTCTCATAGGGACAATTCGGAATTCTTTAAAAAAAAAAAAAACCTAAAAAGTTTACACAACTGTGGAGAAAGGGATGCTGCAAAGAGAAAATGTTATAAAGTTACAAAGTTGTGGTTATACATGAAATCCAAACAAACTCCTATAAGGGTTATCCCACCCCTGCAGGAGGAAGTAGAAACAAACTAGTAACAATTCAATTTTATAAATATTTATGCTGTCACTGTTGCCTGCAAAGCCACAGGGGCAGGTCTAGCTGTGTCAATAGGAAAGCCAGGAGACTGCAGAGTTCTTTTTTTTTGCAGAGTTCTTGAGAGTTTGTTTGGAGGTTCTAGCAGGGGGAGTGCAGCTACTCCTATATCCACAACCCAGGAATGGTCTCCATGCCTAGCAGGGGTGGTCGCCCTCTTCAACCAAGCGTGTAGCTTGGGCAGGGGGACACACATGGAGCATCGAGGAAGGAGACACCCGCCTAGAGAGCCAGATCAGCTGAATCAACCCTGGAATCAGTGTGGTGACAGATGTAGTGGCCAGATGCAGCATTCTTGAGAGCTGCTATTTTGCCTTCTGCGGAGTCCAGAGGTGGCATGAAGCCACCTGACACACTTGGGAGATGTGGCAACCTGTCTGAATTGCTGTTGCTGCTGCTCATCTCTAAAAAGAAAGTCAGAATGGAGGGTGCATCCTCTCCCTTCATTTCTCTAAAATACAATTTCTTGTTGAGAACCCCAAAATAAAGGCATCCTCTTATTGCCTTTTTCTGTCCTCATTTTTCCAAGTTTCCAAGGTGGGGAGGGTTACAGGACTGTGCTCTCCTGACCTCTGAGCTCATCTTGTACAAAGTGTGCTGTCAGACTTTGGCATGGCAGCCTCGGTCACACCTTCTTTCCTTTCCAGCCACATGGACACCACACGGTTCCTTTGTTTCTGTTCTGGGTTCTAAATTTTTCTTATTCCCAGTTTTTCTACAATCTGGCTAAATCCATTTTCTCTATACAGGCTTAACCTGGGGTAGCAATTTGGTGTAAACAGCCACCAGCATACACACTTATCTGTCCATTACACATATTTATTACTATTACTGTGCAGTCCCTTTCTGTCTCATTCACTGAAGCCCAGCAAACATGACATCACATTTAGTAGAGTATTTTTGAGCTTAGACTAAAGTCTTCATATGTTTTAAGGGCCTCTTAGCTTTTATTTATTTATTTATTTATTTTTACTTTTTTGTAGTTTAGGGAAGGGTCTACAGGGTGTTCAGGGTCTCACTACTAGACCGGATTCGTAGTGATCTGCCCATTGACAGCCTCCCAAGAGCTGGGATTACAGGTGTGCACCACCACACCCAGTCTCAATTGCCTTCTCAGTGCGCCAGGGTGGGGGCGGCGGCGGGGCTGGCACAGCTAGCCTAGGGATTGAACCCCTGGCCCCTATGCCTGCTTGCAGGCGTTTTAATCTGCTGAGCTATTTGGCCAGCCCTTCTTAGCTTTTAAATTGGGATGTCTGCCACCAAACTTAATTTATTGAAAATTTTAAATGTATTTTAAAAGTATTTTAAATTAATTAATTCATATTTATTTTTTGAGGCAGTTAGTTCATGCTAGTTTTGGACTCAGGACCATCCTCTTGGCTCAGCCTCCTGAGTGCTGGGATTACAGGATCTGTGCCTGCCACTATGCCGGGCTAATTACTGAGATCCTAGTGTTTTAGCATTTTGATACCCTGGAGTTTCTTTAGAACCTGTCTTGTGGGCCAGGGAGATAGCACAGCAGCCTAAGCTCCTGCCTCGCAAGCTCAAGGTCTCGAGTTCAATCAAAAAGATTTAGCTAGAATCTGTCCTGCAGTGTCTGGTAACAACAACTAATATTTACAGAGAACATACTATACCCAGACCATACCCAGAACATACTATACCCAGTTTTGAGGTAGGTAAAATCATAAGCCTCATCAATAACTTTTTCAAGGTCACACAGAAATAGTTGAGCCAGAAATCTACCAAGATTCTGACTACTGTGTTTTCCTCTTTGGGGACTAGTTTTTTTTTTTTTTTTTTTTTTTTTTTTTTTTTTTTTTTTTTTTTTAAACTAGTCACCCATGTACTTCCCAAAGGGATGATCAGTAGTGATTTTATTGTATTTCTTTCTTTCTTTATTTTTTTGTGGCACCAAGGATTGAACTCAAGACCTTGCACTTGCCAGGCAGGTGCTTATTCTACTGAGCTACCTCCCCTCCCCAGCCCGGACTAGCTGATTCAGATCATTGGCTCAGGATTTTTGACCCTCAGTTTCCCTGATAAAATTGAGACTGCACATTCTTTGAAAGATCCAGCCGGAAGGAGGAGTGACGCGCTAGGGCCCGATTCGGTCCTTACCCCTGAATAATGGTCCACATTTCCAGCGTCCGAGCTGCAGCTCAAGGCAGAGCGGGACCCGCTCCTCCAACCAGCCCTTCGTCTTATAAGACCCCAGGAGCTTCAGGTTAAGACAGTGGCCCAGGGACGTCTACGCCAGTCGTGGCCACCGACCCGCAGTCGGGGCCAGCAGCCCCCTATGCCCGCCCCTCCCCGCCCGGACCACCCGCCGTTTCTCCAGCCTGCGGCTCTCTTGATCTGCGTGCGGCACCGATCCCCGGCTCCCGCCTCACCATGGCATCATATTGCAGGGCGTTCATGAAGTGCGCGACCTCAGCGCCCCGGTACACGGTGAACCAGATGGTGCCTTGGTACTGGTCGCCGGCGTCGAGCAGCAGCACGTTGGGCTCGGCCTGGCGGACCTGCTGCACCTTGGTGAACAGCCGCGCCACGCCGCCCACGCAGAGGCTGGCGTTGGTGCACTTGGTGGAGTCCTCGCTGGTCTGCTCCAGCCGGCTGTGCACGTCGTTGGTGTGCAGGATCGTGAGCTCCCAGGCGCCCGCCACGGCCCACAGCAGCGCGCCCAGTGGCAGGAGCAGCGGCCGCGGGGCCCCGGGACCCATGGCTGCGGTGGGGAGCGCGGACAGGCAGGGCTGGCTGCCCGCGGGGAAGCCCGGCCCGGGGCGGGCTCGGGGCGGATCCTGTCTCCGCGGTTGGCCCGGGCCGGACGCACGCCCCCGAGGTCACCCGACCGATCCTGCCTCGGCGGGCGGTGAGCTGGCTCCGTCCTCCCCCAGGCGAGCGAGCAGCTGCAGGCGGCGCTCGGGTTTCTCTCCGGGTAGAAAGTCAGTAGAAAGTCTAGTTTGCGTTGGCAGTGCAGTTGCCGGCTAGGTCACCACTTCAAAGAGCAGGAGAGGGAAAGGAGAGGGGCGGAAAGGAAAGAGGCGCGAGGGGGAAGAGAGCAGGAGCGCCAGGCGAGGAGCACAGCGCGCTTTGGAGCTGGGGCCGGGGCCCCGCAGGGGTGCTCACACAGACTTGGGATCTGTACCTGGGCTCGAACTCAGGGCCTCGCGCCTTCCAGGCAGGCACTGTGCGGCTGAGCTGCAGCCCAGCCACCCTGGTCCTTTGAAAGCTTGGTGATGTGACAGCGACAGTGCGTGGATAGCTCCCAGATCCTGGGGGCGTGGGATCTTAGGTAGTTAGCAAAGCGCCCTGCCTCCCTTCTCTGCTTTTCCGGTCATGTTTCCATTGGGTTTTGGGGTTTTGAGAAATGGGGTCGGGGTGTGTTCAACCGCCCGTGTTTAAAGTAAAGCAAAGCTTTTAGCAAGGAAAACAAGGAAACATCCTCACCGTCGAATTAAAATTGCTGCATCATTTGCCAATGTTTGACAGAGTGATCCCTAAACGTGAATTACACATAATCAGTTCCCTAGACGCTCTGGAGAGAGAAGAGAAGGAATTACTTTGGGTCCTCGCTAGCTTTCCGCACATTGTGTAGCAGAGGGAAAGCGACCTGCACTTCTGCAGGGCGCATCGCGCCACTCTTGTTTTTTCTATGAAGTTTCTTTCTTCAGCTGTGGTAAAATCCCCACAATAAACTTTGCCATTCTAACCAGAGGGTTGGTTGGTGTGTAGGCCCCCAATGCTTCATGCAGTCATGGAGGGGGTGTGCTTCTAAATTTGTGATTGATTCCTGGGCCAATGCTGGGATTGTGGGTATGAGTGCTACTCCACCCTGGGGCAGGCAGCCTGCACACAGCCTAAGGGAGGGAAAGAGGCTTGCTTCTGCTCCTCCCTTTGCTCTTGCTGCTTTTGCTGTTTTTCTGCAACTGTAAACAGCTGCTCTCTGCCATGTGCCCCTGTGCCTTGGAGCCAGCTGAGTATGGATGGAAGCCCCCTCAAACTGCGAGCTAAATAAACCTTTCCTTCCTTCATTCTGGCCATCAGGAAGTCTCAGTAATGAGACAAAAATAACCAAGACAACCATTTTGCACCATCACCGCCACCACCCATCTCCAGAATTTTTTATCTTCCTGGACTGAGGCTGTAATCACTGAACAGCTGTCCCCCGTGTCCTCCTTCCAGCTCCTGGATACCTGCATTATGGCTATTTCTATGAATCTGACTGTTCTAAATGCCTCCTGTAAGTGGAATTATACTTTTAAAAAAAGTATGTATTTGGTACAGGGTCTCACTATGGAGTTCTAACTTGTGATGTTTTCAGCCTCCTCAGCGCTGGGATTAAAGGTGTGCATCACCATGCCCAGACTCAGCCAGCTGGGCGTGCCCCAGAGGCAGGGCAAGTGGGACTAGGGATGGAACTCTAGTCTCTGCACTTGCCAAAGCAGGTGCTTACTCTGCTGAGCTATCTTGCTGGCCCCAAAATTATACACTTTTTTTTTGGGGGGGGGGACAAGTTCTCACTAAATTGCTGAGGCGGGGCTTCCGCTTGTGATTGTCTGCCTCAGCCTTCCCAAGTGTTGGGATTACAAACATGCACCATCTGGACCAGCTTGCTGTCTTTTTGTGACTGGGTTGTTTCACTTAGGCTTTGAGTCTAATCTTTGAGGATAGAGGAGTAGTGGCACTCGTGACTTAGCCTTACCATTGTTTAAATGTAGGTCACCACAAATATTTTCTGAAATTCCTGTGTTAGGGATGCCACAGACTCCTATTCTGTAACCACCTGTCAATACACAAATAAAATGGCCTTTGATTATTTACTGGACCAAATTCAATCTTTCCGGCTTAGAGTTTTATTTTTACTAATTTTAAAATTTATTTAGGTAAGTAGATACTGGAGATTGAACTCAGGACTTGTGCACTGAGCTATATCCACAGCCCTTTCTTATTTTCAGGCAGGATATTGTTAAGTCATTTAAATTGGCAAGGGTGGGCCAACCTCGTGATCTTCCTGTGTCAGCCTTCCACACTGGGATGATGGGTGTGCACCATCATTCCTGGCTCCAGTGTAGCCTTTTGAAGTTACTTTATTGAGCCAATTTTACTCTATTGCCCCTCAAAAAGGTATCACTCACATCAGTGAGAACAAATGTGCTAAAGCTTAAAGCTTTCTTTTTTTTCCTCCTAAACATGCACAGGGCCAGAGGACAGCAAAGACTGCATCTTTATGGACTGGCCAGGATGGAAGTTCGAATCCAGTAAAGATTGAGTCTTAATGAAAAGGACTGAGGGCTGGGGATATAGCTCAGTGGCAAAGCACCTGCCTGGCAAGTGCAAGATCCTGAGTTCGATTCCTGGTAAAAAA